GATGGTCATTCAACTTCTTGTAGAGTACAGAGACAGACGACGAGAAAATAATATACTTATATAATTAATAAACATTATAAACAATATAATTAATCTTGTTTTTCAAATACATCATTTTTGAATGTTCCAGGGGTATATGAAATACTGACAGATTTATTGAAGTTAGTTTAGACGTTTTGGCGTTTTTATGGGACTTCCCGCCAAGACCATTAATTTATTAAATAACAGAATTTTAATCTCAGGTACGTCGTAACTAATAAATGTATGCATTTAATTATTTTAGCAAATACAAGTTGAAGTTTGACGAATATAAATATTGAACGGAGTGAGTAGGCTTTCTACTTCGACAAAAATCAAAGGACCAGTTAACATGTCCTTTTATCAAGATGTCAAAAATGGCAGCAGGTTATTGATTTCGTTTTGAAAAGTGAATTTTAATGATTAGTATTATCAACAGAGTTTACATGGACAAGGAGAGAATCGATTGAGTGGATTTAATATTAATAAGTGAAAAGTTTTCATCAATGTATTGACGATATTTACAGTGCCACTTTACACTGTTTCAAAATAGCTTCACTAAAGAATTGCTATCGTTTAGTTTCGACGATTGGTACAGGAGTAATGCTAGTCATAGGTGTCAGAATTTTGTTCATTTTAAAATTTAGGTTCATAAGATAATTTCTGGAAGCGTCACGGACAAAGATGGAAGAATACGACGCGGGGATCGCATTCTTGCCGTTAATGGCATTAAACTCGAGAACATGACGTCATCGGAAGTGCGTCATATCCTCATGAATCCGGGACCTCAGTTACGTCTCGTAATCCAACGGCGAAAGGGTAGCAATGACAACGGTAGCATACTGCCGTTCGACAGTAAAGCGAATTCACCTCCTTCACCAACAGCTAGTAAGAATTCTGTCAATCTCTCCATCAGATTCGTTATCAGGCATTTAAGAAAGCTGGACAACGAAGTTTCCAACAGCTGACCAGTCGATGGCTAGCGTTTCGTATGGAAAGCCGATAGAAGTGCGCCTCATTAAAGGATGCACTGGCCTTGGAATTTTATTGGACGGTGGAAAAAATTCGCCGCTCGGGGACCGCCCACTGACCATCAAACGAATGTTTGCCGGTATGCTTTATAAAAAGTGAATCCATAACTTTAGAAATAATATCTGCTGCGAACGATTTCAGCTGGGGCTGCTGAAAAATCCCATAGAATCCACGTTGGAGACCAGGTGACGGCAATCAACGACGTAAATTTCGAAAACCACACTCGTCTCGAAGCGTGGACTTATCTAAGAAGCCTGCCGGACGGCGAGGTGGTGCTGACCATATTGCCAAAGCTTTGACGACGTCATGATGATCATTTCTCAACAGGCGCTGGATGTATTTTATCACACGCTGTTTGCTACTCATGGCATTGCTATGTTGTCATTGGTTACATATTAAGAAATTGTGTATTTCGTTCGTTAGCAGTTTTAATTGCTAATTTAGTAGCCGCATCTGTTTGAACATCAGTAAAGACCTTATACTTGGTCAAACGAGAAAACATATAGCTTGGCTTGCCTCTCTAAGACATTTTATGTCAAATGCGTGTTTCACATTTTCTCTAGGCAAAACTTTAAGCCAATTTCATTCTGTTTATTGCCTCATAAGCATAGCAAAATGGAAAATGGTCGGCAACACCTCTTTTGTATTTATTAACTAGTTTCTACTGAACGAAACCAATTTCGACCTGACCAACCAAAATACAAAGACAGGTGGTTTGTGTCCATAACAGTCATCAGATATAACACCCCAATGATTTATAACGCTGATGCCTGAGAAACAAGTGTGACCAAGC